ATAAGATTGTCTGCTTCTCTGCTATATAGGGAAGACAGACCATACTTACACAATATTCAAAGCCGAATATTCAACATAAATGATTATCTGATTGGTCGACATATAAGATTGTCTGCCTTATAAGGAACATAGACCATACTTAGAGAATATTCAAATCTGAATATTCGACTACTTGGACAATATTGAAATCTGAATATTCGACAATATTCGAAAGAATTTGAACATGTAACATATTTAGATTTGACATGACCTCATTGTAGAATTCAAATATAAAATGAAAACCATAAGTTAATTTTTTGCTGGTGACTGCTTTTGTCGGCCGGCTGACAAATCGTCTCTTAAATGGAAAGGAAAGAAAAAGAAATATTGTCATACAATAAAATTGACAGGCAGAGAGGAGTTCTGGTGTTTCTTTTATGCGTTCTCTAACGCTCCTTTCTTTCGCAACATTCTGTCGTCGTTTTTTTGGTCTCTGTTTTAAATTAGTCTAGAAAAAACGCATAAAGAGAAACGAGCCTCATTTTGTAGTGCCACAGAAAATCAAAGAAGAGCTGTAAAACAAAATCTATAATAAACATTGTCTGTCGTGGAAGAAAAGGGTAAGCAATTTTTTGAGGTACAAATTTCTAATCCTGAATTTTGAACGTACCGTATGAAATTCTGCTGTGTTTTTTTGCCTATATTTGTTGAACGTCATCAAGCAGAGTTAGAACCGTTCTAACTGACGAAAAAAAAATTTTGATTTAATCTTATTTTGGTGTTTCATTTCTACTTTATTTCATTTTCTGCATAAAACTAATGTCACTATTTACTGAATAGATAAAGTTCGAACACACATTATCTCTGATTACCATGACCCGATGAGAAAGCCGCAAAGTCATAGCAGTCAAAAAGAGTTTTTTTAGCTGTTGAATATAACAGAAGAAAGTATAATTTTTTAACGTTGACCACCAATTTAGTTACAGATGTTGATGCATTCTAAAATCTAGAAACATTGCTTTTCTATCTATCACCTCATCTGTAAAGAAAAAATGACTACATGTTATATGTTTATGCAACTATAAAACAAGGCAGTTATGTATAAAACAGTTCTAAATTACGTTATATCGTATCTACACCGACTTAATGTACGGAATAGGGAAGTAACGACCCACCGATTGGAATATATTTTAAAACGCTTCCCTAACCTTCAATCTAATTGATACATTTTGACGGGCTTATACGAAACTAATTAAGAGCTTATCAAAAATCTTGTATAATTGTACTCTATCGGATTGTATACGATTTATACTCGGCGAATCTTACACATATAAATCCTCATACACCTATTTACGATGGCAACAGAAAATACATATTTTCCTCTGCTGAAAACATAAAATTTCTTCTCTTCTCACTTTCTTACTTGATGTCATTTTTCTTTTTTTTAATCTTTTTTCTTCTGTACGCATATACATTCGCATATACATTTCGCTGTACGGCTCCCATTCGACACAGAGCCTAATTTGAACCAAAACAACCCTCTCCTTAGTAAATCTCTCTGATCCGTCTCCTATGGGAATTTCGGAATAATTTTTAGATCATTAAATAGCCAAGACCTTCAGCTACAAAAGTCTCAGATTCAGTGAAAAGCGATTTAAACCTCACTGAGGTACTAAAGTTACAAGCTAGACAAATCTGGTATCGGTTCCAATTAGACACTTTACTCTATGTGTTTTGATACGTTGGTAAAAGAATAATCTCTTGACACACAGCGGTTAATTGTCTTTGAAGAAGTAATCAAATCAATTAGAAAAGAAAATGAAGCGTCTGTGTACGTTTAGTTGAACTATATTTTCTCATTTCTTGCTTATACGGTGTAGAATTGCCATTTAGGGTGATTTCTCTTGTGCAACTAAGCAACAAAAGAGAACTATACTAACTCAAAGTTCACTCAAAAAACCAAGCGAAGCCTACTTATACACTCTAAAAAAGCTTTCAATCATAAAGAATTATGCTAGACAATGCGTTCTTTTCGAAAAAATTGCTCCAGTTCAAAAGTGCTACGTTCAACGACTATAACTGCTACTCACTTAGCGCCAACTATAAAAGTAATTATCTTTGAAACCATTATATGTGTAAAGATAAAACTTTCAGAAAATGAATAAGTAATAGTCACTATTCATTTCCCAAAATTTCAGCACGATCCCTCTGGCGCAAAAAAAGTCATTTTTCAACCTCTCTCATAATGACTTTGACTTAACGTATTCTTTTAATTATCTAGACTTCACTGAACAAGTAGAGTAGCGTGATTAACAATGGCTGCGATTACCGCTACTCCAGCTGTTGATTTTAGTAACTGGTCTAAGTTACAACATCTAATCGGCCACTCATTTGTCTGCTTACGTCGATTATTTAAAACTCGCTATCTACAGTTTTTCAATCAAGTATGGGACGACACACCAACTATTGGTAGTCAGTTTTATTCCTCTGTCATACGTTCAAGTCCAAACAATTTCCATTTCTTCCCTGTTCAAGTCACTTCAATTAAAAACGGTAATTCGGAAGACTGGGATCTTACAATATTAACGGCACTTCTATTGAACATCAGTCGACCAAGAAATTTGACTATACCTGAGAAACAAAAAGTCGACATGGAAGATCAACTTCTTAAAGATCTAAGGACTATCCGTAATGAATTAGCACATCATGCTACTAGACGTATCACGGAAAGTGAATTTGCTCGATTATTGCAACGGTTAAAAACTATTTTGATCTGTTTCGGCGAAGACGACAGCGAACTGGATAAACTAAAAGATGATATTGAATTTAAATCGTCAAAAGAGAGTGTCGATAGTGAAAGTGTTAAAGCAATGAACAGTTTAAACGTTATTGCGAACCGTTCTTTCAAAGAGAAAAACTACGCTGACGCTATTAAAAACTTCACAATGGCTACGACTCTACCGCACATACCGGCTAAGGACCACGCTCTACTGTACTCTAATATATCTAGTACCCGCTTAGCTTTGTATGAACAAACTAATTCGGCTTCTACTGCTGTTACAACTGCTGACGATGAACGGTATCGTGCATTGAAAGATGCTAAACAAGCACGTAATCTATGGCCAACATGGTGAAAAGCACATTATCGTGTTGGAAATGCCTATTTCTCGATGAATGAACTTGAAAAAGCAATCATTTCATTTGAACGTGCCTTAGCGCTTGCTCCATTGAATGATCAGGTCAAACAGGTTTTAGATACTAGTCGATTTAAACTTAGTCAGCAAATACGTCATGAACATCTTGATCCAAGACTAAAGCCTGAAACAATGGATGAACACCTAACTGATATGAAAGACAGATTTGGCATCGATCCGGAACAAGTTCGCCTTGGTCATCTTTTAGCTGACATGAGTGATGATCCTACGCGAGCCAATGTGATTAAAGGACATAAATATTTTAGAGGTGACACTGAGATGAGAATTAGACAAGACTATGATCAATCAGCCGTCTATTTCGCCGAAGCAGCTAGACAGGGCAACGCTGAAGGAATGTACAATCTAGGTATGATGTACGATCGTGGACAAGGTGTAAAGAAAGATCATAGGTTAGCAACTCAGTTTTTTGAAAAAGCAGCATTACAACCAGCACAGCTTCCTAAAACTAATCTGCCAAATATTGGTGTAGCAGAAGCACAACACGCGCTAGGACTACGGTATTATAACGGTGTCGATGTCCCAAAGAACTATGCAGCTGCTGCAAATTGGTATAAACGTGCTGCTGAAAATGGTTGTGAGCAGGCGGCAAATAATTTAGGAATAATGTATCAGGATGGTGGTGGTGTTGAACAGGGTAGTGTAAAAGCGGAACAATGGTCCCAGTTTGCCGCTAAAAAAGGCGATCCAAATGCAATGTACACAATGTCTCACTTGTCGTTCAAGAAAAATGATTTTCAGATGACACGAGAATGGCATCAACGTGCCTGTAATGCTGGTCATGTTTTGGCACTAACGAACCGCGAAAAGTTTTTAGAAGAGATAAACGAAAGAGAAGCACTAGTCACGCAATTGCCACCAAATTTGTTGAATGTACTGAATGAATCAACAAGAATATTGGATTTAACAAATATAAAACCAATGCCAAGCAAGAGCAGTTCCTCTCTATATAAGTACTTAGAGCTTAAAGAGCACGCATTAAAAGGATCAGTTACAGCCAAGCAGCTGTGTATGGCATTACAACATTTCTACACGGCATTATATATAATTACGCAGTCCGAAAATTTAGATGAAAAACAATTTATACATGAATTAGCTGAAGCTTATCGTACCGAACATCGTGTTGTCCAAATAGTAGATGCAGACCTATACAAACAAATTCAAACGGTTATTCGCAGTTCACTAAAACGTCATCCTGATGATGAAGATGCGCAAATCTGTTATGTCTATTTTCATTCAGATGATCTAGAACCAAATGCTAAATTATTGCATGAATGGAAAGTAACACATCCAAACTCTATTCATCTTTACGATTTAAGTGCAGCTGTGAACTGTTTTTTAAAGCAGTACGAACTTGCTCTATTAGATTGCAATATAGGTTTAAAACTGGATCCAAATTATTGCGAACTTCTCTATACAAAAGCAGTTGCATTGCGCCTATTGCCAAACACCGATCAAACTGACATTATTGCAGCTTATCAGAAGTTTTTGGCTCTTGCACCAAAAGATCATCGAAAAGTTCCAGAATCTTACTACGCTATGACACAGTGTTATTTCCCTAGAGAGTAAGTGTTGGCATTCGCAGCTTTTGTTTCTATATCCTTGCAGAATGCTTCGCTTTTGCTGAATGCTGAGAGCGAAAACTTTAGAATCAGCGCTGATACGGCAGTCCAGGCGATAGCGGTTCCCTTAGAGCTAATGCGGTCAATGTAACAGCAGTTGCGAGCCACACAATTGTTCCTACTGCATGTTACGCTTCAAGGATGAGGAGGTGTCGGTGTCGTCCCAAAAAACTAGTGAAAAACTTCAAATTCGAAGACAATTTTCTTCTTCATACTCTCTGTTTTTCTAGAAAACCGGTAAAACATGATGTCACATCTAAAATTATTCCCGATGCAGCAGTTCAAACCTACGAGCAAGGTTTAGAAGCTGAACGCTTACAACTACCGTGTTATTTACCATATAAATCAACTAGCAAAACAGCTATAAAAGCTGTGTTCGATTTCGTCGATTTGTGCAAAAGAGATACATTGCAGTCAGATCAAACACCAAAGCAAAGTTAGCATTGTATACTATTAATGGGCTGACTCTGCCCCTGTGACACAGGCAGGGCGTAGTAGCGCCACTAACAAGTTCGTTTTTTGAGGAACTTTCGTAATCTTTGTAGTTCTTTAAAAGAGAAGCATTCGATAGCATAAAAAGAGAGACGTTTGCCTATGTAACATTGTCTTGTTTACATCCCATGTTTTTGAATAAATATAAAGTCTATCTCCAATTGCTGAATAATATGAATATGGGGAGGGGGTCTCAAGTTGAAAATTCCACGCATGAATATCTTGTTCCAGTTTTATTTATTGTGCTACATTCTAATACTCCATTAGAAAGCTTATTCATAACAAACTGTAGAGCCTGGTTCTCTAACAGAATCCGTTTTATCTCCTGGTGTCAATAACAACTGATCGAATGATAGACGAAGAATCGGTAGTCTTAGTGGCATTTGTAGCGGTTTTCGATAAAATTATTGGGTTGACGGTAGCTGCAATTATTACGCCCATTATCCTAACAACTACCACTTTTTGCACACAAGGCACGACTGGACAAAAATGAGAAAACATAAAAGCTTTACAGTTTGAGCAATTCAACCGAAACGCCTCGGCGACGTGTTTGCTCTACAAAACCTAGTTGTTAGAAAAATGTTAAAGAATCAATTATTGTGGAGAAAAATGTTTTGCGAAGAAAACGCTATTTTGATCGGTGTATAGCATCGGTCGCCCACGTCTTACGAGATATAGTTATTGTTAGTACACATATAAATTAAAAGTCATCGATAAAGGCAGGGCCAGCGCTTTTAAGAGGGATGGATAAATTTGCATTGCGACTAGTGTAAGACTTTTTTGCTAAATGCATTATAGTAGAAGAAAACGCTGATCAGTATAGTGAGAAAAAAGAAGAGTTTTCGATTATTGATGGGGTTGTCTCTTCGGCCATCTCCCGCTCTGGGTAAAGAGTTTGCACGTTTTAAAATCGTAGTACAATTGTCAAAGTTAATAAAAAAACAAATTAAATACGTATAAATTAAAATAAATATTTTAAGTAAAAAATACTCATAAGTGTTTAAGTGAAATAATAAAATTGTCAAATAAGTTAATATTTTAATTTTACAGCTTCTGATTATATTTTTGGTACATTGGTAGAAATGAACCAATTTTATTTAAAACGCTCGATTAACATGGAAATGTTTCTTTCAAGCAATACTGTTGGATTCCTATCTTACTCACGTTATGATTATATTCTGTTATTGTAAGTGTCGGTTCGAGTGAGAGGAACAGGCGTTATTTTGCTACTCCAAATATGGTAACGAGGGAAGGTCCTCAACTGTCCAATCGCTTTTGAGCTGAACCTAAGTGGACAATAGGTAATCGAGGATGCTGAATCCGAATATCACAATCGTTTGGGCTAACGTTGGGTTTTTGAACCGGTTTTCCGAAAAACTAGTTTTTCAAAGACTCTAAAGATAACTAAAACCTTTCTTAATAAGGCCTGGTTGTAGCCCGCAGATTTCTGATTAAAATGATACCTTTACCAGCTCTACATAACTTTTCTTTGCATAGTTATAGAATTTACAAGAAAAGCTCTAAATTAATTTTTTCTTTATTTCTGTAGCTTTGAGCAAGATTTAGAGCTTTTCTTGTAAATTCTATAACTATGCAAAGAAAAGTTATGTAGAGCTGGTAAAGGTATCATTTTAATCAGAAATCTGCGGGCTACAACCAGGCCTTATTAAGAAAGGCTTTGGTTATCTTTTGGAGTTTTTGAAAAACTGGCTTTTCGGAAAATCGTTCAAAAACCCAACGTTAGCCCAAACGATTGTGATATTCGAATTCAGCACGCTCGATTGCCTATTGTCCACTTAGGTTCAGCTCAAAAGCGACAGTTCTGTTTTCTCAACCTTGTACTGCATTAGCAGCAATGTATATTCGGCGTCCATAGAACTAATTTTACCCATATAATAAAACAAATTAGAAATAATTTTGATGACATGGCTCAGCGTCCTTCAACAACAATAAGTGATCCGACAGCGGCGTTATGCTTAGCAGATGTATTAAATGTGATATTAAAAGAAACAGATGTTGTATCCTGGGTTTTTGCTTTCTCTTACACATGCTTTAAGTATGTGTTTAAGCATACTGTAATACAGTGTGAAGAGAGTAGGTTTTTTAGATAAAGAATTTAAGTTTTTTGATTTAAGTGTTTTACAAAGTAAAACTTTTGTAAAACACTATTTTGCTTTGTTTACGGTATTGGTAAACTGGTTGTGAGCATCTTTAACTTTTAAATGAATTAGACATTTCATCTGGTCAAGTTCTGGATTTAGAAAATAAACTAGTTCAGAAATATTTTGTTCCAAATCTTAGATGTAAGTTATTAATTTCTTATATCATCGATTCTAGGAGAAGGACAGTTCCAGTTCCTATAGGTCCTAAGAACTGGTTACTGGTTCAGTTCCTGTTGAGCGGGAACTGGTTACCAGTTCTTTTCAAGAATTCAGAATAAAATAAAACCGATGGAGGTAGTTATATTGACCTGATTTAGTCAATTAAACACATCATCTACCTCTGGCGCACTACACAAAGTCAATGTAAGTAGGTTCATCGGTTTTATTTCAATTTTAACTTTTTGAAAAGAACTGGTGCTAGTTCCCGTTCAAAAGAACTAAACTGGAACTGTCCTACCCCTAATCGATTCACCTTTTCTCTGAAATGCTGATACAGCCAGCGTTTTTGATACGGCAATCTTTTTCGTCCTAATCGCAATGTGTATCTGTTGATCTGTTTAACAATAAAGAACAAACAACAAACATCACCTTCATTATACATCTTTTAAGAGCATTCTGTAGAATCGTTGCAAACACGTCTTTTTAACTAGATTTGAACACATCAGGTGATAATTTCTCCGTTTATGATGTTTATTCAATGAAGAAGAGCATGAAAACATGTGCTCTTTTCAAAACAAAATACGGGCTTCGATTCGCTATAGTACTCTGAGTACACCTAAATAACGTTGAGAAGGTCATACTTCACTTGGTAAGCGGAAAAAGCTCTTCGAATGACATGTATATCAAAACGCCATGTATTAGTATGAGAGTGTCGAAATTACGAAGAAAAAATACGTGGTTTGTTGGAACTAGGAAAGAACATGAAAGCAAAAATTTCTAGAGACATGTCGTTTCTTTTGTTCTCTTCCCTGTATACTAGAAAAGGACATATAAGATGAATATGGGATGTATTCATTCTCATCTAAGCTAAACAGAATGGTCATTATATAAAGCAGCTTCTTATTTTGTTATCGTATACTTATGAAGATCACTGCTCTGCCTGCTTTTTGTAGTTTGTATCTGCTACTGTTTTCCTGAACTGATCACATCATGTTCCCGAATAAAAGTTTGAGTAAAACATGATGTAATTTACTATCCTAAGAAAGGATCTCAATTCCTACATCTACAATTTTGTTATCGTATACTTGTGAAAATCACTTTTTGGAAGGTCTGTTTTTCTGGTATGGCTTGTCGCAATATGATCTCGAAGTTTCGGCACGAAATGTTTTTGTGCTGATGTTTTGGTGTCTGAAAATACTGTTTTGTTTTTCAAAATCGCTTTTTATGGCGTTATAAAGTTGAGAACCTGTACGAAGGCGCAAAAGAGTGACTTTTTTCTCGTGTAGTTTTTGTGTAGTAAATGCAATTGAAATTAGGACTTTACATGAAAAATTAATTTTTAATTTTTGAGAAATTTTGAATAATATGTGTTTATCTTCGTGGATATAAATTTTGTTTACATGGTTTGGACAGCTTCTTGCAAAACGTCAGACCTGCAATATTATTTAAAATGAATAATCATTCTTTCGTTCTATAAATATATATGATGCCAGTTTTGGCAGAAAAATTCTGTTTTTTTGGAAATTCACATGTGGCATTCCTATTAAATGTACAAAGGTTTCAAACCATAGGGATCAGGACTACATAGTTAGTTTCTCTACACCGACCCGGGCGCACAGGTAGGGTGTTCGTATATGTGTTTGTTAAACGAAGAAACATATTCAACTGTCCAACCGTTTTTTCACCAAACCTAGTAGAATATAGGTTATCGACCACACTAATTCCGATTATCCATATGAGGCGGACTGTTAGGTTTCCTAGAGCGATTTTTCGGAAAACCACGAAAAATCCCCAAAACTTTCTCTTAGTAAGTCACGGTTGTAGCCCACGAAATTCTGATCAAAATGAGACATCTCCCACCTCTGCACAACCTTTCTTTACAACGTTATAGAATTTACAAGAAAAGCCCTAAATTCTGTTTTACTTTTTGTCTCTGTGGCTTTTCGCTGCCAATGAACATTTAGGTTCACCAGTTTAGTCGGAAAAACTGGGCATCGATTGAGCAACTTAGGTCGTCCCTACTGTGAAACGGCTCTTAAGGGTACTCGATTCACTCATGGAACGTCTCTCAGACTCGTGATCGTCACACTACACGGACAAGAAATTTTTTAATCTATTATATATATTTAATCGATATATGTTAAAGGAGAGCTAGTTAGCTAAAGAATTGTTTATGTCTGTACTAGACGATACAGGCACGTGTTCTTTGTTTCTCGTTCAACGTATATTTAAATAGAGAAAAACATATAGCTATATAGTCTTAAAATTGGGAGTTTTGGTGAAAAGCTAATTCAGCCAATCCAGTCTACTCGTTGGAATATTGCTCTTAGTGCTTTCTTCTATTTCTACTGATTTTCTGAATAGTAAAATAGAAAATCACTAGTTCAGTCACTGATGGGTTTAAAACTGCCTGAGGTATAACTATCATCTTGGGCTGATAGTTATAACTTCAGCTGCTATATCTATATAGCCCAGGTAGAAGCTACACAGTAGTAAACTACAGTTTACGTCAAAATACGACGAAAGGAACCGGGCCGAACTATTACGACTGTCGTAAACTGTGGTATATGATGAAATACGACAAAATACCATGACAGTATACGATCATCGTAATACTTCAGCCGGCTT